ATTTATGATATGGAAGATATACTGTTAAGGTGACAATATTCCCCAAATTCAACCAATCTTTGTTAAAATACCAATTGTCTGCCAGGCTCAGTGACTCAGCCTGTAATCCCAGCACTTTGGGAGCTCAAGGTGAGTGGATTGCCTGAGCCTGTGGGTTCGAGAGCAGCCTGGACAACTTGGCGAGACCTTGTCTCTACAATAAATAAATAAAAAAATTAGCCAGGCGTGGTTGTGCGTGCCTGTAGTTCCGGCTACTTGGAAGACTGAGGCAGAAGGATCGCTGGAGCCCAGCAGATCAACGCTGACATGGCTGTGAGTGTGCCACTGTACTCCAGCCTAGGTGACAGAGTGAGACTCCAACTCCAACTCAAAAAAAAAAAAAAAATTGTCTTCAGAAATCAATAAACTGACCATAAAATTCATATGAAAAAGTGAGACCTTCATTTCTAAAAAAAAAAAACAAACAAAGCTAGGTGCAGTGATGTGCACTGATAGTCCCAGCTACTTGGGAGTTTGAGGCAGAAAGACTATTTGAGCCCAGGATTCAAGACTGCAATAAGTTATGATCTCACCACTGCATGCCTGCCTAGGCAACAGAGCAAGACTCTGACTCTAAATAAATACATAAGTAAAATTCATGTGGAAATGTAAGTGACTCAGAATAGACAAAAGAATCTAAAAAGAGTAGTTAAAGGACTCACACTTCTTGAATACAAAATTTATAATACAAAGTTGAAGTAATCAAGATAGCATAGTACTGGTATAAGGGTAGGCATATTGAACAGGAGGATATAATTGAGAGTCAAGAAGTAAATCCTTACATTTGTGGTAAACTGATAGTCAAAAAGAGCACCAAGATAATTCAGTAGGGGAAAGAATCAACAAATGGTGGTAAAACAGTTGGATATTCATACACAAAAGAATGAAGATGTACTCTACCTCACACGATATAAAAAAATTCAACCAAAATGAATCATAGACCTAAATGTATAAGCGAAAACTATAAAACTCTTAAAAGAAAACACAGGAGTAAATCTTAGTAACCTTGGCCTATGTAATTGGTTTCTTAGATCATACCACAAGCAACAAAAGAAAAAAAGTTGGACATCAATTTTTGTGCTTCAAAGAACAGAGTATCAAAAAAAGTAAAAAACCTATAGAATGGAAGAACATATTTGTAAATCATATATTTGGTAACAGATTTTTGTCTAGAATATATAAAGAACTCTTACAACTCAACAATAAAAAGACAAATAGCCCAATTAAAAATGGGCAAAGGGCTGGACATGGTGTCTCACACCTGTAGTAACAGCACTTTGGGAAGGTGGAGGCAAGATGATTGCCTGAGCTCAGGGATTTGAGACCAGATTGGTCTCTAAAATAAATTTTAAAAATTTCCAGGTGTAGTTAAAAAATTAGTATGCATCTGTAGTTCCAGCTACTTGGAAGGCTGAGGCAGAAGGATTCCCTAAACCCAGCAATTAATGCTGCGGTAGCCATGAATGTGCCACTGCACTCTAGCCTGGGCGACAGAGTGAGATTCTCACTAAAAGTAAAAAAACGATAAAAGATTTAAATAAATATTTATCCAAAGAAGATATAAACTGACAATAAGCACATACAAGATGTTCAATGTCATTAGTCATTAAAGAAATGCAAATCAAAACCACAATGAGATATCACTGTATACCCGCTAGGATGGTCAAAATAAAACAGACAATAACATATGTTGGTGAGGATTTGGAGAAATTGAGACCCTCATACATTGCTGGTGAGATTATAAAATGGTGCAGTTGCTTTGGAAAAGAGTTTGATAGTTCATCTAAATGTGAAACAGAGAGTTACCATCTCATGTAGCAATTTCACTTCTAGGTATATATACAAAAGAAATGAAAATGTACATCCACACAAAACCCTGTACATGAGTGTTCACAGCAACATTAGTCATAAGATCCCAAAGTGGAAACAAACCAAATATCCATCAACTGATGCATAGATAACCAAAATATGGTATTATTGATAAAATGTAATGTTATTCTGCCATAAAAATAAGAAAGTACTGATACATGCTAAAAAAAGATAAACCTTAAAAATATTATGTAAAGTGAAAAAAGCCAAAAACAGAAGATCATATTATATGATTTATATGAATCTCCAGAAAGTAAATGAGTAGTTGCCAGGGACTGGGAGGAGGAAATAAAGAGTGCTAATGGGTGTGGAGTTTCTTTTTGGGGTAATGAAAATGTTCTAAAATTACAAAGTGGTGATGGTTTGCATAACTTTACAAATATATTAAGAACCACAAAATAGTTCACTTTAAAAAGGTGAATATTATGAGCCTGAATATAACAAAGCTATTATAAAAAATAGATAATAAAATCAAAATGGAAAAAAGTCAATAGATTTTACTACTAGAGAAATAAAAATCTTGTCACATTAAAAACCTGAAAACTATACAAACTAGGAAAATTTGTAAGACAAGTCATGTTGTTGTTGTTGCTATTATTACTATTATTTTGAGTCAGAGTCTTGCCATAGCCTTGACCTTCTGGGCTCAGGCAATCCTTCTGCCTCAGCCTCCTGAGTAACTGGGACTACAGGTGAGTGCCACCACCATGCCTGGCTAATTTTTGAGGTTTTTGTAGAGAATTACTGTGTTGCCCAGGTAAGAACTCCTGGGCTTAAGCGATCCTCCTACCTCAGGCTCCCAAAGTGCTCCCTACCTGGCCAATATGCCATATTTTATGAAATTGAAGATGCTATGCTGTTTCATGAATTTATATGCTACTAAGAAAGAAAAACCTTCCAAGTTGGGGAGAGTCCTGGAGAAGCCTCATCAAAGCTGGAATATTAAAGGGTACATCCTCTACAAACCTTCCAAGGGCTGAGATGAAACTTATGTTTTTCCAACCTAGGCACAGGTTTAAGGGAGGTGGAAAATCTTGGTTAAAATATTGAACCACAGGCTGCCATTCACATAGCCTCACCGTTTGAATAAACACTATTTTAAGTTCAATCCTAGGCCAAAGAAACCTCGGGCAGAAAATTTAATTGACAGTGGTCTCAACTTGACAGCAATTCTAAGAAAAAAAAAATTTTTCTTAGAACAAAATAAGGTTAAAAAAAAGGGAGGGGCGTTAGAATGCAAAGTTCACATAAGTCATTTGGGAAAATAATAAATGCCCAATATAGAAGGTCAAATGTTAGGAAGCTTAATTCTCAAAGGAATTATAAAAGGCTAATAAACATGAATAATGGTTGAACTTTACTAGTTCTCAAGAAATGCAAAATAAAACAATCAGATAACATTTTTTTACTTATCAGGGCAACATAATTTAAAAGGCATAATGTTGGTGAGGGAATGGTAGAATACAGACTCTTGTGGGAGCCAACAGTGGCATAATCTCTCTGGGCAGTTATATACATTTTATTACCCGAGGATCCCTTCTTGAAATCCATTCCAAAGAAATATCCCAAGTTTGGACATGACATTTATTTGAAATGATGTATATAAAACTATTAGTTAGAAATAGGAAAAGGAGAAACTGTGTACATGCTCAATACTGAAAGAATGGTTAAATAGATTATGACAAACCCATATCATTTTCATGTTGTGTTGCAATTTTAAATGGTGTCTTTGAAGAATATACAACAATATGGGAAACTATTCATGTTATAATGCTATGTGAAAAATGGAAGAATAGTACCTAAAATTGTACACCCTCACACTACCATTTTTATATAAATACATAAAGCGCAGAAATAAAGACTGGTAGAAAGAACATTAACATATTAGGAATAGACATCTCTGGGTGATGGCATTTCAAGACATTTTTATTGTTTTCATCTTCTTGTATTTTCCAAAATTTTTATATTGAAAAGTGTTTGACTTTCATTAGCAAAATAACCAATAAATCTAAGAAAAAATTGGCTTGTTTAAGTATAAAATATAAACATCCTTTTTCAGTTTTTGGTGTGTGGCTAAATTATCATCTTTTGGGCTATGAAATTGGACCACAGAACAGCTAAATGACAAAACAACAACATATAAACCTATAATTATATAATGAGGTTTTTTCCTTTCATGTGGTTTAAAAATATACTACAGGATATCAAATATTCATTGTAGAACACTTAATAAATATCAGTATAAAAAGAAAGATCCCACGTAATTCCCTAATACAGAACAACCATTGTCAGCTTTTGGTTTAGTTTGCTCTTCTTTTTCTAGTTACTCAAGGTTTCAAGTCAGGGTATTGATTTGAGATTTTTCTTCTTTTATTTTAATGTAGGAGTTTACAGTCATAAATTTCCCTCTGGGCCCTGCCTTCACAGCATCCCATAAATTTGTGGTATGTTTGTTTTCATTTCCGAGTTTCTTCCTAATTTTCCTGTGATTTCTGCTTTAACCCGTTGGTAGTTTAAGAACAAGTTGTTTAATTTTTCACACATTTATGAAGTTTCCAGTTTTCATTCTTTATTGATTCATTCCACTGTGGTCAGAAAAGATACTTCATATGGTTTCCATCTTTTAAAATTCATTGAGACTTGTTTTGTGAACTAACATACGGTCTATCCTAGAGAATGTTCCATGAGAATAACTGCTGTTAATAGTTTTATAAGTCCCATTAAAATTCTGCTGCACATTTAAGAAATACAGATGGATAACTACATATATGTGAATAAATCTATATTTAAAGGACTAAATGTACCTTGAATACATCATTTTTATTGGTTGTATACTATTCCAGTATTTGACTGTATTATAGGACATTTAACCAATATAGGGTATGGACATTTAGACAGCTTATAATTTTTTTTTTTTGCTACAAAACAGGATGCTAATGATTATGTATCAATAAACACCTGATTGGGATACTTAGCCATAATTACTAGTGATTACTGCTGTAGGGAGAGAAATAGCTCCTACTCTTCCATAAAAATTTTTCAGAGATACATGACATCAGCAACTAAAAGTACAACTTTCAAAAGACTCTTACCTTGAATTTTCTTGAAAACTCTGGAATTCATGAACTTTAGAAATCTGTCTGCATAAAAGCTTGGTCTATGAACTGAAACAGTGTCCTGAAAAGACAGATCAAGGATTACAGGGTTGTTTACCTCTCAGGGTTCACCTCAAGTCACAAGAAAGATCTACACAGTTGGTTTTGTGTTAACGAATGTCCCTAACCAAAAGTGGTCAAAGAGCTAGAAAAGAGCAATGTCCTGTGGGACCCAGGAGTCTGGGGCTAGGGGAAGAGGACACAGATTCAATCAGAACAAAGATTCTAGACACTCAAGATGGAATGGAACAGGGGAGGGATAGCAGAAAGACCCTTCAAAATAAATCAAAACAGCTATCCTGATTCATAACGTTGTGTCCCAGGAGGGTCTTTTTTTTTTTTTAACATGTAGGCTATCAGTGCATCAGATGTCATCTGGAATAAAGGGTAACACTCAGTAACGAACAAAAACTGGGGACATAACAAATAAAATGATCCTAATCTAAGAGTGACATTTGAGTTAAACTTTTCTGTTCTGGTTTCACCTCCAAGTAATAAGGTAAGCAGACACTAGGAGGATTCCTAGGAGACAAGACTAACAGATGACTCCCGTTACACTGAATTATCTACTAATTACATAGAGTAGAATTGAATTAAATTGTTAACTCAATTCTCTCATGCTTTGGCAGGAGTCTTTAGGACTGAAGGGTCATTTTATCACAAATGTAGGAAAGGGGATGGATGAAGGAGCTAATTCTTCTGTTTATTTAGTAACCATTAATCCATACCATATATCCAAGCGCACATTTCTAAACATAGTCCATAGGCTTATATAATGCTCCATTTTGAATCCAGATGTGTGGATTACAATTAGGAATTTTCTCAAAATGTAAGATTGCTATCAAAAAATATTTCCAGTGGAGTTAAAAGTAAGAACACATTGGACCACCAATCAGGAGACCTGGTTCTGGTGTTTGTTCTAACTTTAACAGACTGTGTGATTCTGGAAAAAGTCAGCGTCAGGCCTCAGTTTCTTCATCTGTGAAACAGGGTGTTACATGAGGCATAAGTTCCTTTTAACTAGTACAACCTATTCTATAATAAGCATGGTATGAAGGTCACAGTCACAGGATCCCTCTTTAGTCTCTCGGTGAGGCTGCAGATGTGGTGGGAAGTTTACCACACATCTTTTCGCATACATTCTTCCCAGTTTTCTGGGGGCTTCTGTTTGAAGTGGACACATTTTCCCAACAAGTACAGTAATTCAGAAATATCAGTAGGATGCAAGAGCCTGAGGAGTATCCACAGTTGATTAAGGCTCAGCCCCTGCTGATAAACAGAAGTTACATTGTTCTCTTTGGCATGAATAAACAGTGAATAAGAGTCATGTTTGTAGACAAATAAAAATAAGTTTATTATATATAATCAGCACAGAGATTTTTTTTTTTTTTTTTTGAGTTGGAGTCTCACTCTGTCACCCAGACTGGAGTGCATTGGCTGCTCCCAGCCACCGCAGCTTCCACCTGCTGGGCTCCGGCGATCCTTCCGCCTCAGCCTTCCAAGTAGCCGGAATTACAGGCATGTGCTACCACACCCGGCTGATTTTTTAAAATTTTATTTATTGTAGAGATGAACACAGAGATTTTTATTAAAAAAAATTAAAAAACAGAAGATAAGTTTTAAATAAACAAAGGTGGGGGCCCCATAGAAAAATGTGATCAATACAGAACTAGGCCATTCAGGTCAGAAATCTCATGTGGCAACAGGGAATTGAAATGATCTCAAAAAATAGCAGGAGAATGAAACAGAGTCTTCATTATCTCCCAATTTCATGTTTGAGATACTATGTAGTCCCACCTTTTTAGCTGGACGATAAAATAAAATTAACCTACTATCTTGACCTCTTTTCGTTTTTTTTTTTTTTTTTTTTTTGAGTTGGAGTCTCACTCTGTCACCCAGACTGGAGTGCAGTGGCTGCTCCCGGCCACTGCAGCCTTGACCTGCTGGGCTCCAGCAATCCTTCCGCCTCAGCCTTCCAAGTAGTTGGACTACAGGCATGCGCTACCACACCCGGCTAATTTTTTGATTTATTGTAGAGATGAGGTCTCACCAAGTTGCCCAGGCGGGTCTTGAACCCGCGGGCTCAGGCAATCCACTCACCTCGGCCTCCCAAGGCGCGGTATTACAGGTTGAGCCACCGAGCCTGGCTTGACCTCTTTTCAAAAGAGGAATTTTCAATTTTTTTTTGGTGACAAGGTCTTGCTGTGCCTCTCAGGTTGGAGTGCAGTGGTGCAATCATAGCTCACTGTAGCCTAAAACTCCTGGGCTCAACTCCTTCTACCTCAGCTTCCGGAAGTAGCTAGGACTACAGGTGTTTGCCACTGTGCCTGGGCTACATTTTTAAATTTTTTTGTAGAGACAGGGTCATGCTACGTTGCCTAGGCTGGTCTTCCAACAATCCTTCTGCCTTGGCCTCCCAAAGTGGTGGGATTATAGGCCTGCGCCACTGCACCTAGATGAAGTTTTTGGTTTAGATAAGACTGAGGTTAATTTCTTTTCTTATTTTTTAATTTTATTTTAAAGATGTGGGGTGCAATTCAGGGTTAGGTATACAAACGTTGATTATGCAGGTACCCTTGTTGATGAGCTGTGCCGCTCCCTCTCCTAGCAGTTTCCCTCAACTACCAGTCCTCCCCACCTCCCCGCAGTTTCCCACTACTGTCAATCCCTTTCTTATACTATTATGATAATTGTTCAAGGTCCGCTTAAGAGTGAGAACATATGGTACTCTGTTCTTGGTTTCTGTGATAGATCACTGAGCATGACCGACTCTAAATTTCTTTTTAAAAATTTAAATTAAAAAAAAAATTTTTTTTTAAATGTTACCCAGGCTGAACTCAAACTCCTGGGCTCAAGTAATCCTCCCACCTCAGCCTCTGGAGTAGTCAGGATTATAGGTCCATATCACCATGCCTGGTTCAGAGTTTAATTCTTAGAAACAAATTTGTGAAATGCATTGTTTAAAATGCATTCTGATAGAGGTCAGTCCTTTGTCTGTGGACAAAAAGCAGATCTTTTTTTGTACTGGAAGATTATTAATACTCTTCCACAGAACTGAGAAAGTGTGTATTCTTTTCCAAGAAAGGAGATGAAAAGCGTCTACAATTTATCCTCTTTCAAAGGAAGCATCTGCTAACATCTTAAATGGAAATGTGTGACCAAATCTTTTGAAAAGCTTGTCTTGTGAGAACTTCATTTCAACTGCCCTCAATGATCTTCCAAGTGCTTAAGAAAAAAGTTCTCTTTTTTTCCTCATCATTACTTCATAATTGGGTCCTTTAGATTTTACATAGAAACAGATGTCACTTTGTTTTGCTGGCCTCTACCTAACCACTGTGCTGGATGTCATCTGTTTAAATAGCTATTCAAAATATAAAATATATAGGCAACCCATTCGGGTTCCCTCCTGCTCTGGGAGCTTTTCTGTCTTCTCAATAAATCCTACTTTCAAAAAATATATATACAAAATCTTTCTAAAAAGCTAAAATACATTGTGACTAACATATTTTTTGGAAGTGCTACTTCAAGTTATTAGCTGAGGGAGGCTTAAGCCAATAAATGTTCTGTTAGAGGCAGGAAGCAGAAATCTAACATCTAGATGGGTGTGTGTGTGTGTGTGTGTGTGTGTGTGTGTGTGTGTGTGTGTTTTGAGAGAGAAAGAGACAGAGAGAGAGAGAGAAGGAGAGGAGGGAGAGGGGGAAGAAGAAGGGAGAGGAAGAGAAGGAGTGGACAAATGCTCTCTGCTAACAGGCTTTTTTCTTCAGTTATGTCAGTTAAGACATCTTCAATCAGTCAGTTTGAAGAAATGTCTATAAAAATCCATACCAACTTACAAGATTTCATTTTGTGTCTATATTTGTTAGGTATCATGTTGGACACTTAACATGTATTATTTCCTCCTCACATCAGGCAGGTACCGCTACTATCCCTTGGCACACATAAAAAACAAGGGCAAGAGAAGCTAAATAACCAGCAACTTGCCCAGGTCACATGGAGAGTCCTAAACGTAGACAGAGTTTGGATCCACAGCTTCCACTGTCAAAGTCAGAGCTCAAGCCCTTCTGTGGCTTGGTTTTGTGAGAACTTCACTTCAGCTGCCCTGTTGATCTTCCCAGTACTTATGAAAAAAGTTCACTTTTTTTTCTCATTACCTCATAATTGGGTCCTTTAGATTTCACATAGAAACAGATACCATTTTATTTTTCTGACCTCTAGGCTAGCCACTAGGCTGGATGTCATCTATTTGAATAACGACTCAAACTTATGTGGTCTTGTTCTCCGATTTTTATTTTTGTTTTGAGTTGGAGTCTTGCTCTGTCACCCAGGCTGGAGTGCAGTGGCACACTCATGGCTCACCGCAGCCTCAACTTGCTAGGTTCAGGCGATCCTTCCACCTCAGCCTTACAAGTAGCTGGAAACTCAGGTGCACAACACATCTGGCTAATTTTTGATTTATTGTAAAGACGAAGTCTTGCCAAGTTGTCCAGGCTCTTCTCAAGCTCCTGGGCTCAGGCAATTCTCTCATCTCTGCCTCCCAAAGCACAGTGTGAGCCACCATGCCTGGCCTGTTCTCAGATTTGAACTAATCTACTAACCTAAGATTCTGTGTTTAAAGTCTAGTGACACAGTTTCCTAGGCACACCCTTAAGTAGCTGAGAAAGCAGAAATATATACAGTGTAACAAGGGACATAAGTCACTTACCCCATCATAAACAAGAGCTTTCCAGGAATGTTCTAACTTCTTCATTAACCTAAAAGTAAATAAAACATAAAAATGAGAATGTAAGACCACTCCCATTTAGTGAAGTTTCAGAACATTTGTTGATTAGTTTTGAAATACTATAAGACCACTCCCTCAAATTTCTTACCTATATGATTGCAGAATGTCAATAATGCCCATAAATAAAAGTAGTTTTTCTCCCTTATGGCTTTTGGCTGGAATGCCTCCCATTCTGTTGATAGAGCAAAAGAGAAAATATTTTATCATATATTATAAGAAAAAGTAGTTAAAATCATTTCTAATAAATAGACTGGAAATAAAAATAGACAATCTTTAAGAAGTCTGGGCTATCGTCCATTCATCTCAGTGTGTGTGTGGGGTGTGAGTGTGTGTGTGTGTGTGTGTGTGTGTGTGTGTGTGTGTGTGTGTGTGTGCGCATGTGACATCATCTAAGGTCTTTCTGAGAATCCAGAATAATGTGTTTCCCCATAGAGAATAAAGTCTCAGCCTATCAACTCTGGAGAGTTGAATCCAATTTTAAAATTATTCCAACTTTAAAGGAAAAGAAATCATCCTATATAAAAACCACCTGCACTCATATGTTCATCACAGCACTATTCACAATAGCAAAGTCATGGAACCATCCTTGGTGCCCATCATTGGTTGCCCATCAATGGTTCAATATGGTATATTCAGAGGATGCCAAAAATGTATGCATTTTAAGAAAGGAAAAAACTGTATTAAGATTGTAATACTCAATATATACCGAAAACAAAGGATGAATACAAGTCACGTTTGACTTTTGCAATTACAAAGAGGTGCTCAAAGTGGCTACCATCAGCACCCAGACACTTCTGATTACAGTGAACTAAAAATATTACATAGATAACATAACTTAAAATGTGTATATATATTTTTTGGCACCCCTGGTATATACACCATGGAATATTATCCAGCTAAAAAAAGAATGAAATCATGTCCTGTGCACCAACATTGATGGAACTGAAGACTATTATCCTAAGTGAACTAACTCAGAAACAGAATGCCAAATACTGCATGTTCTCACTTCTAAATGGGAACAAAATAATGGGTACACATGAACATACAGATGGAAATAACAGACACTGGGAACTTTTTGTTTTTTTTTAAGAGGGCAGAAAAGCTCCCACAGTGAAAGGGGTCCTGAAGGGGTTGCCCACATGGGGAACTTTTAAAGCGGGAGGGTGGGCCAGGAGGCAAGTGTTGAAAAATTACCTGTCAGGTACAATGTTCACTATTCAGGTGATGGGCACACTAGACGCCCAATCTCTACCAGTAAGCAATTTACCCAAGTAACAAACATGCACATGTACCCCCTGAATCCGAAATTTAAAAAAGTATTCCTTCTTTAAAGCCATAAGCAAGAATTTTTAGAGCATTATAAAATATTGCTTTTTAAAAATGCAACACATTTTTCTGATCAAAATAGTAATATATACTTACTGGTTTTAAAAATACAGAAAAACACAAAGACAATATTTATAAAAAATTTACTGCTTGGATATAATAAGTCAGTATATCTTTCTAGTATATGTATGTAAGTGTGTCCACAGAGGAGATTATTTAATTGATCATGTTTTATAACCTGAAATTTTCATTTGCTAAATGATGAACATTCCTCATATTCAATGCTAATGTGATTTTTAAGAGCTGCGTAATATTTCACCATGTTGATATAAAATAATGTAACTGATTATTGGACATTTAGATGAACCCTCAGGCAAACATTAAAAAAAATTTGATAGGTGTTAATTTCCTTTATAGAAGTGAAATATGTCCATGGTTTATTCATTATCGGAGAATTCTACAAGGCAGGCACTTATGGCTGTGGAAAATTTCTTTCAGTCTCCTTGCTCAGCTAGTATACACACCTAATGCAGTCTACCATTTCAATCACTTTTCTTTGGTTGCAATTGTTTCTGTGAATCAATTTGCACTATATACATGCAAATTAATCCTGTAGTTACTATCACATCTGGCTAAGGCGATAGGCCACATCTGCCTGGGTACATAACTAGAACAACAGAATCCCCTTATGCATATAAAAAGCCCTGAATTGCGAACATCCTTTCTATGGTGTATTTGCTTAAATACACATCTATTCAAATTCAAAATTTATTCCCTCCTCTTGTGGTAGATGTTTTGAATACGTAGTTAATGAGGGCAAAAACATTTTCAGTCATTGTTTTTAAAAAAATGAAGCCATTTGAGAAAAGAAACCAAGTGTGTGACTTGGGACACATCTAGTTATCCTTAGATGAACAGAAAAGAAAGTCAGCTTAACTCACTTCAGCATCAAGTGGGAATTTATTCCCAGAGTGCCACCATAGGGAAAATGTGATTGCCTATAATTACCCAGTGACGTGGGCTGTCTCAATCAGGAGGGCGGGCGGGCCTGTGGCTACACTTACGTGTCCGGGTTCTCCGTGATGATCCCATCTCCGGATTTCCCTGGACCCTGGATAGATTCCATGGCTGTTGAGTAGAGGACCTTCTGCATCCCAGGCCGCTTGGCATCAGGCACATTTTGTGAGGTCTCCTCTTCTCTCTCTTTGAGGGAATGGTCCAGGATGTGGATTCCCAACAGGAGGCTATAGTCCATGATCTTGAAACTTTCCAGCACCTAAGTGAGAAGAACCAGGAGGCCAGTCAACCCAGATGGCCTGTAAGTCTCATCTGCACAGAATTAGAGAGTTCTAGATATGCAGGCACACTGCTCCTGCATCCCTCCCAAGGGGTAGAGATGAAAAATCAAAATAAAAACACTGGAAGTTATTATTAGGCCATATGCAAGGAGGATTATCATAACGGCTCCAAGATAGAAGCTTAATGAAAGTCTGAAGCAAGCATGTCTTTTCTTAACCTTCCATGAATGCTTCACTAGGAGCATTTATTGAATACTTTCCATATGTCAGCTGCCAAGTAGTTCATTTGGTATCAATCTTCTAAAAAAACCCTATGTGCTAGGAACTATTATTATCTCTATTTTACAGATGAAAACCTTGAGGCACAGAGATGTAAAGTAATTTGCTCAATATCACACAGCACATAAGTGACAGAGATCGAAGCAATCAACCCTGGCATCCACACTCTTAAGCACTAGAGCAGAGAAACCAACAACCAACAGTTGCTATAAGCTTGTATCCACTACAGCGTGAAGACTCAGCTGGAGTGTGTTTTGGCCCGGCTTCTGTTCTCAGAATCTTAATCCTGCTGGAGTTTAATGGTCTCCTTTTCAAAGCCTGTCTTTAAAAGTTGCCACTCATTTCCCTGTAGCAAGTCTTCTTAATACATATGATCTCAACAAAGAACAGGACTTAGTGTTTAATTATCTACTCAGCAGCCAGTGGGGAAGTGACGGAATTAAAAATAGTTGGATGCAGACAGACCAAGGAGATAGCAATGCTGTAAAAGGAAAATGACAAGAAACAAGGTCTAGGGAACAGTCTGTCAAGTGGCTTCAGGGTGTAGGCGGGGCTCTGAAACTCAGGGCCTTTTTAGATGAAGGAGCAGTGGTCAGGAAGAATGCCTGCAAATTAGGTGTTTTCCTCTATAATAAAGTTTTTTTTCTACTAGTATGTATACGATCTTCCCCTCCAAAAACTTTCGATTGCTTGGCATTTCCAAACAAAGCTGCTCAGAAAATCAAAATGACCCATACGGTTAAGACAATCCTGGTCGTCAGAAGAGCTGTCTCTGAACCAACATGATACAGCATCCCTATACTCTAGTTAGGAACTACCTTGGAGGATCATAGACCACAAATAGTTGTTTAACCAGGGATTGAATAATCCAGAATTTCTAATACTTCTCATTCTCCCTCAGCTCAACTGCTTTTTGAATATATGCTATACTAAAAAGGGGGTCAGGTCTGAGAATTCAAATACCCATGGCTGCCTCTTTATGGATGCCATATGGCAAAAGGCTTTGTGAACTATGACACAAGGGGCCTTTGGTAAATATGACCACCCTGCATCTTAGGCATCTTTGCCGTTAATGAGGAAACGAAGAGTGAGCTGCAAATGAATATCAATTATTCCATAGTGTTTACCTTTCATCTTTCAATATACTAAGTCAAGTACTTTCAGAAAGGTGGCAGACAGAGCTGAAAGTAGAATCTTATTATTTAAGAGGTTTAGGCCATGGAATTTTCTAGCCTAAGAGATCTGAGACTGACCTGATAACAATGTGGTATCAGTCTTCCTAGCTTAAAGAGGAATGACATCAAGACCGGAGAAGAAAGGTAGGGGTGACAGGAAACACTCCTTACCACTGATCAGATGCTTGAGCATCAGACCCATGGCTGGTTCTCCACAGAGGTGTATTAGTGCCTTATCTCACCAAAAAGTAGCATAGACCGTAAAAGAAAACAAGACTCTTTTGTCTCAGGAGTACCAAGGACCCAGACTCTTAAAAGAAAATACTGATGGATATTGGGTGCTTTCTTCAGATAGATATAAGTGGTAGAAGGGTCTTAGCTTTTCTAATTTTCAACCATACTGAAATGATGGCTTGGAAATGGTACCCGCCCAGACAACTTCCTATGCTCTTCACCATGATTACCATCTGCAGATGCCCATTTTCCTACTCACATTTATTACTGTTAGTGCTCCCTTTCTTAGAGACTGATGGCTAGGGACATGGGGGACAAAGAGCATGGACTCTATGACCTCGGACAGGATACATCACTTCTCTGTGCCTCAGTTTCCTTACCTGTAAAATGGTGACAATAATATTACCTATTGTATAGAATGCTTATGAAAATTAAATATGGCAATGCAGGCACAATGCTTAGAAAAGTTTCTAGCATAAAGTAAGTGCTCGATAAATTGCTAGCTATTATCATATGATTATAATTCATGGTGACTCATTCCTCACACTAGTTTGAGAGACTACAGATATCAGCTTGAAGTAAACACTCCTAGAGCTACAATTCTGAAAATAAATGTCACTAAAAACCCAACAAAAATACAACTGCATTTCTAGCCTGCTTATCAGTGTCATTTAGGCAAATCCTGGTTCCATTAAAAGGTCTTGGTTTGTAGGCACCCAGTGGTATTACCTAGATGTTCAACAGAAATATGATTGGCTGACAGCCCAACAATTCTGGTCAATGAGTTGTTAAATGGCTGCTTTATAATTTGTAGGCGGAATAGTCCCATTTTCAATTGGCAAAAAAACAGTCTTGTGGCCTGCATGGCCCAAAGAATTCATTTATCAATGTTTCCTCCGAAGCAGTGAACTGGCTTCAACAGCAAGTTCTAGTCAGACTCTGTGACAACATTGTGGATGTCCCCAACAGGCATCCAGAATCATTTCCTCGAGTTAGGAGTGGTCAAGCTCCAAAGCATTCCTGACACCCTCATTTTCCTCTGCAAAGCATCTACAAATTAATTCTGCTTGGTAAGAACCTTTTTTTTTTAATAAAAATAATTTTTCTCATATTTTTCGTGCAATAGTCAACCTGAACTACTTGGTTTGAACTTTCAGTCTTTTTTATTGCCTGTGTACAGGCCAAAGAGAACCTGTGCATTTTACAGGTGATATGAAGCCAGGCTGTGATCAACTTTAACTACTGAATAAAGTAAGACTATCCTGATGCTGTATATGGTCAAATATTTGTCGTGGTTTACCTATTTACTTTTAAGAATAAACTTCAAGAGAGAATTAACTAAGAAAAAGTAATAAAAAATTTTAAAAAGAGACTCTATTTCCTCTTCATTCATATTGTCAGCATCTCGAAAGGGTGCTGAATTGTCCTCAGGAGGTCAAGGCTCCTACTTTCAGAGTGAAAGTTTTCAAAAAAGGAATTCTATCTCCTCTTGTGTGGAAAGATGACCACTATTGTCAGAGTTTTGGTTAGGCAAAATTACCACTCATTAAAAAATGTTAAGGAACAAACAGCCCCTTTAAAAAGTGGGCAAAAAACACAAATAGACACTTCTCAAAAGAAGATATACGGGCAGCCAACAGACATATGAAAAAGTGCTCAGCCTCACTCATCATCAGAGAAATGCAAGTCAAAAACCACATTGAGATACCACCTAACCCCTGTAAGAATGGTCATCATTCATAAAACAAGCAACAACAGATGCTGGTGAGGATGTGGAGAAAAAGGAATGCCTCTACACTGCTGGTGGGAATGCAAACTTGTACAACCTCTCCGGAAAACAGTCTGGAGAT